CCCCACTGGATACTATTCGAGAGAATTGAATGCGATGCCGGCATTGCACGTCTGGAAGCGATACCGACAGCAGCACTGTGTATACGAAGTTACACGCAGATCAAGCATCTGTCAAGCGAAACACGGTACGTAGACGGAAATTTGTAACCGACTTGGTACGGAAATCAAACCGCCTTTCGTATCCACGCTACGTACGTATCTCAAACCAAAGTATTACGGGTATAAACCGCACAGCAAATAACCGCCGTGTACAGCTGTAACGATTTCGTGAGACAGACACGTGCAGTTGGCCGTTCGCACTTCCTTTCCACGCATCAGCCAGTGTGACTGGGACGCCAGTGTTCTGTGTTCAGAGTGTGCAGTTTAAAATTTGTAGCGAACGGTAAGAACACATCACGGAAAGTTTGTGACGAGATCGATCACTGCCGAGGTCGAATTCCCGACCCTACGCTGTAGCAAATTTTGAATTCACGTTCACCTGAACAGAACGAGCTGCTGGTTCTTGTTGTGGACTAAGGTGTTGTGCGTGTTTCCATCTGATTGTCTCTTATTAGTGTGGCATCGATGCTTACTTGACCCGACAGATATCGAGGCGTAGCAGAATTCGAAATGTCAGCGTGTTTTCAAGCTTGTTGGTATGTACATGTATATTTATTGCAATATCCGCATTTAATGCACAGAGGACGTTGTTCCCTCCGTATGCCATTGTACCATGACGAAATTAGAATATATTGAGCATTTTTTTTATATAAATTTCGTCTCTCAATTTTCTTCAGCCGCTGATTACACGCTTTCCGCTGTACAGCGCCTGGAAACACGGACCGTTTGTACAGATACTATCGATTCATGGGATAAGTAATATGTCCCATCGCTAGACGCGATAAGATAACCAAGCAATTTCAATTTTCTTCTAAGTTATTCGTTCCAAAACCAGTGATACCTTCCTAATCTATTTATACTCCAAGAAATTCCAAACATAGTGTTTTGTGATTGAGAATATGTTCAATAGCCAATTCCATATTCATATGAAAAATATGGAGATAGAACGCGAACGAATAATATATACCAGTTTTTACAGGCAAACAGCATTTAATTTCAGTACGTCATCAAACAACCTGTCATTAATTATAACCAAACCATAATTATATCTGTATTTATATAACATCTCTTTAATTGCGTCTACATATACATATATTTCAAACGTTCTCGACGCGTGGTGATATTAGGATACATACACGACACTATTGTATCTTCTGCCGGTAATTGCATGAATTATTAACTACAGCTTATCGAGCCAATTCACTGCGCACATTCGATCAATTTGATTTTGAGCATTTGAAATGAATACTGAATCATCAAATGTTTTTATAATACTAAATATTTTATTGTGCTTTATTAGATTAACATAACTTCCTAGATTTCTATATTATACAAGGCCTCAAGCATTTACCATTACCCGTAGAACTGAGAGATACGACATAGAAGTTTTTATAATACTCATGTATGTTTCCATATTAATAACAAAGAATTTTCCAGCCCTCAGGAAAACTGGGTCTTGACCTCTCATAATGATATAAATAATATCTTTTGCCACACATTTCGGTATATTGTACCAGCTACAGAAATACACCGAGTTACCGACGCCTTCCATCTGACGCTTTAAGCATTCGCCCACGTAGCTGTATGCAAATAATTGCAGCAGTAGCGTGCTCGATACTATAAATGTTTTTACTGTCATGGCGATGTTTCCAATTTTCAGAGCGATAATAAATTGAAGTCCTAAAAACAGATGCAAATCATCATAATAAATTAATTAAATTTAAATAAACTTATGCCATTGTGCTTCGCGTCATTTTATCGAGTGAGGTAAGAATGTTTACCGCTTGTACAAATAAGTACACAACTCGTGAATAGTTGCACAATCAAGATAGAGCTGATGGTCTCGCTCAGCATTTTGGCTAACTTCAGCAAGTAAATATGCCTCTTGGTTAATGAGATGAAATGTTCCATTGCTTTTTCGTTCTCGTTGTTCAACCTATTGAACTCAAGCCTCAGAATTTCTACCTGCCCGCACAGGTGAAAAATGATACCGAAGAACAACGAATCGCTCCCTAATTCACATTTCAATATAAATAAATGAATTTTTTGACCTACTATGAGCACGTATTGGTATTTTAGGCCATTCAAATCCCAGACTAATCAATTCCATTCTGCTTCAACCTTTTAATATCATCGCTCAAAACGAATAGCCGATGTTCTACATTTTAACAACAAAAATTACAGGCCGGATAGTGTAATAATCGTATTTAGAGTTACTCATTTATCGTTTTAATCGTTTTAAACACTACTTTCGTAGTTGATTTTTTTAAACACTATTTTGAACGTACATTAAATGAATATTAATCCACATGCCAAACACACGCTACGTACACACGAGGTTCAAGTTCAATA